ATATCAGATTAAATTTTAATAACGCAATCCCTAAAAAACCCAAAGTAAAACGAATTAAATGTACTTATATGTGAATCCAGCTGGGAACATAACCACACAGAATGTAACTATCCCGAGTGACTTTAAAACACAGTAATCTGATGTTATATCCCTATTATGAAATATCCTTAAAAACGGACCCCGGAAGACAGCCAAAAAAACTTAATCTGTTTGTGGTGATTATATTCTTCCTGGACAAGTGGGTTTTGTTATTCTAAGGCTGCTGGGTGTGAAGTTTGTGATAAAACAATGAGTAAGAATGTTGATGTGCACAGGAAAAATGATGAAGTTAATTTGAAAATCTTATAGTCCATGAAAGAATCAATGCAAACAAGTGTATTTTTTTTAATCTTAAAAAAGTAGCTCTGTCCACTGAAAAAGCCTAGAAACAATGACCACTCAGGAGCACTGTGCATGCCCAGCATCCTCTCTAAGTACATTAAGGAAAAGAGACCACGGCTCCTTGAAGAAATGGCTGAGTCCAGGTCAGGGGCAAGAAATGTTCAAGAAGAAACTGAAATATATTGTTAGAGAAATAAGGAAGTTTAAAAACATATTAGAGTCTTGAAGAGGTTCCCACTGGCTAAAGGTGGAACAATTTGATGATTCTGGAGGGCAAAAACAGCAATGGAGTAAAACATCAAATAAATTTAAACCAAGAGTTCATAACGATATATATTTTTTTCTTCCTTTTTGTCTTTTTTCGTGTCCAGCAACGGATCGCAACCCTCAGTGTCGCGCCCGTACCGGACCGGACCGGCAACGGGATTGCAACCCTCGGTGCTGCACCCGCACCTCGCTCAGCCAGTGAGCGGGAACCGGTCTGTATGTGGGATCCGAACCCTCGGTGGGAGCGCCGCTGCACTCCCAAGTGGAGCACTGTAGCAGTGCGCCACCAGGCCAGCCCCATAACGATATTTTTAAATTAAAAACAAACAAACAAACAAAAACAGTCCCCACTGGTTGTTTATGGAGGATTTTAGGGAACTAACTCATTATTTTGAAAACTGATAAAAAAGAAAAATTATAAGCATTTACCCTGATTTTTCCCTATGAACTCGGAGTAACCAGTTAGTTGTGGGGAAGGGAGAATTTATCTTGACAGAAGTATCCTGGGCTAATAAGTGAAAATCAAATAACAGAACTACAGTATCACCATTTTGCAGCTCCTAATGAATTAATGAACATAGGTAATGATCATAAAGACAGGGACAGGAGAACATATTAAAAACTACCATGGTGATAGAATCAGCAAAATCCAAGCTGTGGGAAATTCTACAGGACACAGATCCTAGGTTCCTCAACAATAAAACAACAAAAACACATAAAGATACACATAAGAGACATGAAACAACAACAAATATATACACACACATATATAAACACATAAACACAATAGCAACAAT